GGTGGTGGGGAAAGAGAACAATCTCCTTAGTGAACTGAGGTTTTATTTAGTTCAGTACTATATGGATCCCTCTTTACCATAATTTTAAAAGATAAAAAAAAAAGTCCAATGAGAATTTCAACTGCTGTAACCTTAAGAATTTCTTTTAAGATAAGAACACTTTAACATACCACCATATGTAAGAAGACCATCATCAGTATCACGGTTAGAGCTTTTTTTTCCCCCCAGGCACACATTTCTTTGAGTGACAGCCTGATTTTTCTGTAATTTTTTAATATAAATGTTGCTGATTTAATAATCAGATTTCTATAGAACACATAAAGAAAACCTCTGGTTTAACTTGGTGTTTTATCTCAAGAATGGAGCAATAATAAAACTCAGTTGTTTAATAAAATTAATCATAAATATATTTGGCAACTGAATATATCAATCTAAGAAATAATTTTTCTACCATGAAGAATAACTTAGGAGTACTCAATGAAAACAAGGAATGAATAAGGTAGTAGCATATAATTTGGGTTGAGGGTGTTGACTATAGATTATTTTATTTTATTTTTTTAGGCGAGGCAACTGTTGGCTGACTTCACAGATTGCAAGGACCTTGTCAGCTTACATCCCTTATTTTTTTTATTTTTTATGCCTACAGCACCTGGTCTTCCTCGGTGGTTTCCCATCCAAGTACTAACCAGGCCCGACCCTGCTTAGCTTCCGAGATCAGAAGGGATCGGGCTTGTTCAGGGTAGCATGGTCGTAGACTACTACTGATTATTTTAAATTAAAATGTTTTTCTAATTGTAGGCTTGAAATTTCATCTGCTGTTCATTTCTGGGAGCCAGAATACATTATGTTAGGCACCTACAATGTTAGATGAGCTATGGTGTTAGAACAATCAATTTTCCTCATCTGTGTCTGGCCAAGAGGTTTTCTTATTTGCTCAATGCCGAACCTGGAGAAATGCCCTTCTTCCCCAGGCCTCCTCAAAAAGTCCTCCTAATGTTACCAGAGTGTTAGTCAGGGCCCCCGCAGGAAACGGATGGCAGACTCAGATTAGATATTTTGAGACAAGTTTAAATAAAGGGACTTTTCAGAGCTGTAGGCAGGATAAGACAACCCAAAAGAGAATATGTACTAGTAACAGATGAGCGTGAAGGGCCAAAGGGATGAAGAGGTTACATGAAACTCAGAGAGAGAAATGATGCTAAGAGGATAAACTGAAGGTCCAACTGAAGCTGTGGCCATCCGGATACAACTAACCAGAAGGCGCCCACATAGAGAAGGCTGAGGAATGAACATCCCCATCACTCTTCTTCCACACAGGATTCCTCTGGTGTTCCCCACTGGTGGAACCCAATCAGCAGCCAGAGGGCAATGGAGCCCCACTGACGTGGGTCCTATCAGCCTTCAGGTACACAGAGAAAGGTAAGAGAGGGGTGGAGAGTATATTGGGAGGGCACGCCCACCAAGAAAGAGGAAGACATGAGCTTTTCAAGTCAGTGTCTAATCACCCTGTTTCCAAGAGGTGGTACAGCAATCAGTCCACTGGGTGGTACTGGAAAAATCACTGTCCAATCTCCATAGAAGAGGCCAACATTCATAAAGAGACAAAAATAAAGATGAACTAACCTTTTCGAGCTGATCCACTTTTTCTGACCATTCCTAAAACGAAACAACAAAAAAATAGTTTCCAGGGAAGAGTATCAGTAATATCAAGATTTTCAGAAAACAAAACAGCCTACTCCCAAAAGCAACCCACCAAACGAAATAGCAAAACAAACAAACAAACAAAAACCATGAAGTTGGCGTAATAGTAAGAAAGCTGAGAGTCCTAAAAGAAGAAAATGAATTTTTATTTTTTTATATAAAATTCTAGAACACAAATATAAGGCTGCAGATTTTTACTAAGTAGAGCACCCAAGCAAAGCTGTATCTGTTGTTCTGATGCAGTTTAGCTTATTCTTGAGTGTTTTTCCATGATTACTATAATAATTTATTGAGGGTGGGTAGCTGGGATCAGCTGAATTGGTAACTCTTCAATTGATGTTTAGAAATTAATTTACTGAAGGGGAGGGTCTTCGGCAGCCCCTAAAAATTATTTTCCTTGATTTTACCAATATGTTTTATGCCATCTGATGTACGTTAAAGGAAAAGGGATTATGCCCCTTATTCACAAATCACAGAACAGGGAAAAATATCCACTGGTACAAAAGACATATCCCAAGTGCCTACAATTAGAATCCACCTTCTTCCTTTATATACACTCATATCATAGTTATCCACTAAGTATTGGTGAATGATGTTTTTTTCTGGCCAGTAAATGTCCTAGGTGACATATACATATTTTAAAACCAACTAACCAATCACTCCATCTACTGTTGGTAAATAATAAATTTTATTAAATGCAACATAATAAATTGATCCTGTCTTAATAAATCAGGATTATCATTATAATACCTTGATGTTTATCTTGTAATAGCCAGTAATACCATCTTTCAATGGATGGTTCAAATGAAATTATAGGAGTTCCCTTCTGTCTAGCTAGCTGGACTTGAAATTTGTGATCAGGTTTTTTTAAGAACTATGTACATCAAGTATGATGTCCAGTTTGACAGCATCTTCTGCTCTATAGAAGGCAAGTGTTTTGGGTCTAGGCTTAGAGACAGGTTTTTAGAGGACAGAGACCCTTTTCCTTATCTTGGGGTTCGCCAGATTATAAACACACTATTTCCCTACTCCAGCTACACAATTATACAACGATACTCACATTCTGGATGTATTTCATGATTATAATTGTAAAGCTTCTTGATAATTTTCCAACCAAAGGCCAGGTGAAATCTTAAAGAACTTACATAGCATTCCTTTTCTCTTAGGTTATAAATATTTTCTACCAGGTTTATGTCATCATTTCTGAAATCTTTCCACTTGTCTTGGGCAGTGTCACATATAAAATACCTGGTCCTTTCTGGCTAATGCCAAAGCCAGTCCTTCTGCCATTTTGGCTCTGTTGGCTTGGAATGTCTCATTCTGCTCTTGAAATTTCCGCATGGAAGCTGTTAACAAAGAGGCTCTATTTGAGATATGGAAATATTTCAGAAACAGCATGACAGACAGCTCACATGATTACTTTACAACTGTCATTTAACAAAAAAGGCCAAGTCACATATGTGAATTATGATACAGGGAAAAACCTGATCCATCTCAACCTCCTCAGAATCTTTTGGGTTTAGTAAAAAACCAAAGTTTTTTGTTTGTTTGTTTCCTGTTGTTTTTGTTTTTTGTACTTGTCAAATATATACATTTAGGAAAATGCCAAAAGGTAACTTTAAATGGTACAATGGTAGAATACTGAGTTAGGTAAGTTGCCAGAAAACAACAATGCTGTTGCTAAGTGATGGCTACTATCACTTTATCAGAATTAAAAACAAAAACAAAAATCAAAACAAAGCAACACAAAAAACCCTTTCTTTCATTTTGTTTTCCTTTAAACACATTTGAATATATATTATATCAACAGAAAATAACTTTCTATTTCTGTTAGCATCTTTCTTGGATTGAACCCAAAGGAAAACATATGATTTAGGGTAGACTAAACAAAATGTATGTTCTATTGTTGGAGGAATGACGACAGTTAGAGATTTCCCCCAATTACTGAACATAGCAGCAATGGAGCTGTGGCTAGAGCCAAAGTCTCCTAATCTAGGTCCAAAGGTCGGGCACTAGGTTCTACTAAAATCTAAGGGCAACCAATAAACTGGTCAACTGGAGAGAGACAAGCTGATACACATAGTGGCCTTCTCCTAAGAAGCAAGCCCATAAGGCAACACAAAGACTATTATATACCAAATAGTATGCTATTTTATACCAAACAAATGTTATGTCGACCTGATTAAGAAATACTGTATAATGCTCACAAAATAAAGATTTGAGCTATGATGGACAAACTTAACCATAAACTACTGTTTCATTTCAAAAAACTAAACTCTAAAAAGATTGGGAAAAAAAAAGACAGCCCAAAAAAAAAAAAAAAAAATACGTACAATCCTGGTGTTTTTCTAACGCAATTTCAAGCTTCTCTTTTATCTTCTGCAAGTTTCGGACCTGTTCAGCATAGTCTTGGGTGAGGAGGGTGACGCACATACCAGGAATGGACAAACATCAGGAAAGGAAGTTAATTAAACAAAAAAATGAGTGAAAATGATGATGACTTTCTCAGCCTGAAAACCATTCCTGTTAAGGAAAGCTAGGCAGACAGCTTCCATTAACAACGAACAACACAGGCAAACAGGTATAGTACAAACCATCCATGGTGTAAATGGTGACTACAAACAGGCAGATTTGTTTAGCCTTGATAAGGAACAAGAACTGGGCCTGGTCTGGTTATCAGAAGTGCCCTGCTATGAAAACCAGTATTATCTTATTACTTAATTTCAAATCTTGGTTTTCACTTTCTCTTCCAGTCTGGGCAGGATAGATCAAAGGGAACTCACTAAATAGCCCCCTTACAATCCATACCACTAGTAACAGTGGTTAGGACAACTGCAAACACCCTACCACAGTACTGCCTTTATAGTGAAAGTTCTTTATGCTCTAGAAAAGTTAGCTTCCTTTCTACATGGGAACAGAGCTGCCTATGCCACTTGAAAGGTGAAAGTCAGAATTAATTCCCCGGGTGCCAAAGAATACAGTATGGTATAGTGGAAAAGTAGACAAGCTTTAGTACAAATCCCAACTCTTTGTCAGTCCTTATGCAAATTATTGATACTAAGTATTAGTTTCTTCATTTATCAAATGGTATTAATTGTACCAACCTCAAAAGGTGTATTAGATAATAAACTAAGTGTTTTATATGCCTTAAGCACCTGGCACACAATGTTCAATAAAAGGTAGCTGCTACTGTTGTTATTATTCACACTAAGCCTATAGGAAAATACCTAAGATATAACTGGGCTTAACGAATGTCAGTTCTCTTTCTTGTTCCTTCTTCTCTACCTTAAGTCAAGCCTAAACTATCCTTCCTTCTGTATTAGACAGGGTACAGATTATTTTATAGTTTTCTCCACAGTATTAAACAAATGCGAAGTTATATCACCTGTTACTGACAATATTCACAGTACAGGTAACAGGATGGTAACTGCATTTAAAGCAGATGGTAATTAAGAACGTGGACTCCAGCATCAAGCAAATCTGGATTGGATTCCAGCTACTACCTGTGTGACCTTAACCTTGCTAAGCCTAAGAAGGCTACAGTGAGGATAAAATGAGATAACACACTAACCAGTAGCCATGAGCTACACTAGGGACCTTTGATAACTGCACCAATACAGATATTTCACATACAATTTGGTGAATTTTGTAGTCTACTGCTTTCACTCCAATAAAATGGGCATAAAGCCAAGGGACAAAACATAGAAGGCACTGACCACTTCACAGGATGAAGCTTTTTAAATGTATCCACTGGCAGAAACCAAAATAAGAACTCACAACTCTATCACAAATATGCCTTGCTCAGGCAAAAGATATAATGAGAGTTGTGTAAATTGCAAAGTGCACACAAAAGACATAATGAGAGTTACGGCTTCTACACAGGTGTTGAAATTAGAAACACTATTGAAAAGTGTCCTAAAGACCAGAATGCCACTTACGTAGGTTTATGTAGCTGTAGCAAGTGGCCACATAGCACCAAAGCCTTCTAGTGTTGAAGACTTCAACACGTGTTGGCCATTTCCTGTAAATAGTATTCCTTACCCTTCTCCACCCGAAAGCAAGCTATGCTAATGGCTAAAAGATGGTCATATCTATTCTATATATACTTTTAATACCTTTTATATCCATGACTAGAAACCTCAGGAGCAGAAGAACAGAAGTTATTATTTTTTTAAACCTTAAACCTCAGTTTTGAATTTATACTATTTAGTACACTAACAAAAGAAGGGAACAAAGTGGGTAAAAATCACTCCTTTTTGACTAAGATCAAAATATGTCAAAGTTACACAATTATACTATACAGCTATTTTACAGGGACAGAGGGTCAGACAAGGCAAATTTCCTTTGTTTTTTATGGGTTCTTGGACATACCAGAAAGTCTGGCCTCTAATTTCCGTATCTGTTCATTCCTTCTCAAAAGCTGAGAGGAAAGATCTTCTCTGGAGCTGCTTCCATCAGAAGCCTGTTTGGACAGACACAAGAGAAGGTCGTATTTATACATGGGTTTTCAATCATATGAGACCACAATTCTGACCCAGAAAGTGACAACTCTTATTTTAGGTTTGGTTACACTTTAACTGTGATCAATGAAAAGCTTCTTAAATTCCCTGGGCCCCAGTTTCTCTATCTGTAAAGTAGAAGCAACACTATCTCCATCTATAATGTGAAGGAGATATGAGATGAGAAACAGATAAATTGTGTGTGTGTGTGTGTACACGCTATTGGAATAAATGGTGGTGAATGAATCCATTATGATCATATAACAACCAAGTATATAATACAAAAAAATATATATCTTCAATGATAAAACATATTTTATCACTTTATTTTTCCAAAGGCAAAGTCCTGGGATAAAGAGGGGAAGGTTTGTTAGCAAGAGATCAAAGTATGGTCTGTGACAAAAAACTATCACTGACATTGATAGTTTCAGTATCTTCACCTAGAAAACAAAGGGGTGTCAATCTAAAGCTCTAAAATGCACCAAAAACCTTAGCAGATAATAAATATTCAATTAATCAAGATATTAACGAGACATCTATTTTCCCTAACAATCTACATTATTTTAAAACATATGGGTACTTCCATTACTTTGAGTACTGCTTACTATTGCTAATAAATAACTTGCTTTTTCTTTTTACCTTTGATTATAAAATTTTAAAAAATACAGCAGAGTAGAGAGAATGGTTTAATGAACATTCTCTGCCGGTCTTAACAATTGCTGATGTTTTCCCATACTTGCTTCATCAACTTTTATTTTACCAAAGTACTTTAACAGATATTATGACATTTCATCCTACTTTGTTAAACATTTCTAAAATATAAGAACATTTCCTTTTATCACAATACCATTATCACACCTAACAAAATTAAAAATGACAATATCTAATATCTAGTCATGTTTCTCTATTTTATTCTCATAATAAAATAAAGGCAGTCTTTAAAGTTGGTTGAACAATTGACTTTAAATTTTCATTTACCCATCTAGCCACTTGCCCATTCAACATTTACTGAGACTCAGTATTGTGTATAGTTAAGAGGAAATCTCTGCAGGTGGAGGCCTAGATCAAAGTCCCATCTTCAACACTTATAAAATATAACAACTTGGGCCAATTAGTCAACTTCTCTGCAATGGTTTCCTCATTCGTAATCCATGATAACAAAGGTGATCTTCTTCACGGAACTGTGATGAGGATTACATAAAGGAATACTTGTCAAGTCCCTAAAACAGAGCCTGGCACATAATTAGTTTCAATACCTATCATCTATGATTAGAAGCTATGATTATTACTTTTAGTGAGACATCCTATTCTCAGCATTGTGCTAAGTGCTGGGAATAGTGGTAAAACAAAGTCTTTTCCTATGACAGCAGCACGTGCAGCAACCACTAATTATGAAATGCATGTTAAGAGCCAGGCGCTATACTGCGAAGTTCTATATACCATATAGAAGAGTTAGCATCACAGGCCTGACACCGCTATCCTTAGCAAGGCCTGCTTATAAGGTGTGCCCTAGGTTGACTTATGGGAACTTAGGTTTTAAAGGGGTTCCCGCTATTCCTGATAAGAATGGCTCATTGTACCTAAACTGATTGTGCAAGAAAATATGGTTTATGCTGAACACCTGTTTTCCTTCTGGGAGTCTGGGATGTTGGTAAATACTGGGCAGTAGGTGCCACATGACTAGCCTCCCAGTAAAATCCCTGGGCACTGAGTCTCTAACGAGCTTCTCTGGTAGACATTTCACCCTGTGTTGTCACAGATCACTGCTGGGGGAATCAAGTGTGCCCTACGTAACTCTTCTGGGAGAGGACTTTTGGAAGCTTGTGCCTGTTTTCCTCCAGGCTTTGCCCTGTGAGCCTTTTCCATTTATTGATTATGCTTTGGATCCTTTCACTGTAATAAATGATAGCAGTGAGTGAAACTACATGCTGAGTCCCATGGGTCCTCTTAGTGACAGGTACAGCTCCTATCCCAATTTTACAGATGAGGAAACTAAGGCATAGAAAAGTGAAGGGACTTGCCTAAAGTCACACAATGATGGAGCAGGGGATCAAATGCAGGTCTGACTCCATAACCTGACGTGAGTTCACAACTGCTACACTCTGCCTCTCATAAAGCTCCCACTTTAGTGGGAGAGACAAACAAGCACAATTATTACACGATGCAGTGTAATAGGTGCTCTTATAGAGGTAAGTAGGAGACCAGGGACCAAATTCAGCCAGGAGGGACAAAGGGTATAGGGGGTGAGAGGGGCAGGTCGCATCAAGGGGGCTTCCTGGAAGTAACATGTGAGCCCAGTTTTGAAGGATGCACCAGAGTCTATCAGAGGAACACAGAAGTGAAAGAAGGAGACAGGAGACATTCCTGTGAGAGAGGAAACAGCGTATGCAAACATCTGCAGGCATGAAGAAATGTTGTCCATTCCAAAAAGTACAGTCAGTTTAATAGGGCTGGAGCACAGAGTACAGGAAAGTGGAGTGAGATGAGGCCGGATAGGTAAGCTGTGACGAGCCCACGAGAGTGTAGCACTATCCTACAATAATGAGTTTGTGCTTCCTCCTGAAAATGATGGACAAACCATTGAGGAGTTGTAAACACTGGAGAGACACGAACGGATCTGCTTTTGGGAGTTATTGGGGGCAGGGAGTCCAGGTAGGTCACCACATTTGTCCAAGAAACAAAGACAGCCTGAAATAAAATGGAAGCAAATGTAATGCTAGTGAGTGGAGTTCAGAGGGCAAGTTTGAGACATTTAGGAGATGGAAGCCAAATACTTGTTGACTGACTGGACAGTAAGTGAAGAAGGGAAGAGTCTAAAATGCCTCCAAGGTTTCTGTTGGTGATTTTGGGGGATGAAGGTACATGTGGAAATGGAGTTAATGTTTTCAGTTTTGTTCATTTTAGAGTCTGAGATACCAGAAGAAAACATCTGGTTGGGGAAATATATGCAGTGGGATACAGGTGTCTGAAGATAAGGAGTGAGGATCAGAATACATATATAATTAACTTCAAACAGGTAACTTTAGAAGTCTCGAAGCAAAATACTTCCTGAATTCGGGCCAGTCTGCGTATCAGGAATGAATTTGAGAAGAAAGTCTTCATTTAGCATGTCAGCATGAAGGCAAAACAGGTATTTCTGCCACAGAGCTCAGCATTAAAACTATATCCTTCAGCCTGGTGATCAAATGTACATTTGTATTTCCTACTAAATACAGGAACCAATGATAATTGAGATCTAGTAATCTTATTGTTCTGTCCCAATAACCTAATTGTTTCTGCCATGTAATCTGACTTGGACAGGTAGGATGTGAGAGGAGGAGGAAGACTCATCTGACCATGGAAACAACTCAAGTGTCTATCACCAGGAGCAGACAGAGATAAACTAAGGCTTTGCAAATGCTGGAACCTTATCCGGCAGTAAAAATAAAGGAACTACAGCTTTATGTAACACCTGCATTTTAGAAACATGTTGAATTAAGAAAAAAAGGAAGTCCAAGAAGACTTCTATTATAAAAATAGCATGCTATTTTTATAAAGTTCAAAAATAAACAATATTAAATAAATTGTTTATGAATATATACATATCTAGTAGGATATTTTTAAAAGCAGGGAATAATAAGCACAATATCTAGGAGGGGAGGGAGGGAGAAGGGACCTGGGAAGGAGCATACGAGTGGCTTGAACAGTAATGATGTTCTAGTTCTTTGGATAGTGACAGATTCACAAGCATTCGTTTTATTTTGATGCTTTATACTTTATATACATTATTTTACACATAACGAGCATTATAAAACATTTTTAAAAAGTTATCTGATTTTAAGAGGATCCTGTCACATGCCAAAGACATACTTGTAATCCTAAGCCATGACATTTACCTGACCTAACACAGTGGCATCTTCATTTTCTGAAATCTTTCAGGTACTTTACAAATAAGGGACATACTGAAGTCATCAGTGCCATCTTTTTATCAATTTTCCCAATAAAAGAGTGCACTCTGGCTAACTCCACACAACTCAGAGTCCTTAGTAAGCAATTAAAGTATGTGTCTGTCTGCAGAAACAACAGGTCGAAAGTATTTTGAGAAATGAAATGTAAAATACACAAGATATAGAGATGGAAAAAGAGTATAAGAGGACAATGTAGAGAATATTTAGCACCTCAGAACAGGAAGAATCAGATGTAAACTACAAATGATACTGCAATTTTAAAAGAAAATACTTATCAGAAGGATTCCTTGAAATACTATTTTAAAATTTTATTGAGATGGTACCAAATACTAAAAATGAGAGAAGATACTTACAAAGTCATCTCCCGAGTCAGCTCCCATAGAGGCGACTGATTCCTTGCTCACCGACCGTGGGATCCTAGTACCACCTCCTGGTCGCTGGGTGACAGCAGTCTCTTCTGCAATTTTCTTCTTCAGTTTTGCAAACATCTTGCTGTGTGGCTATCCTGCACTGATGACCAGCTCTTGAACCACCACAGTGGTCCTTAGGCCAGCAACCAGGAATTCCGAGACAGGGGCCTAAAAAGTTCCAGATATCCAAGCTAGCTGCATTCCTCCTTAAATATGGGCCAAGGACCTGTGGCAACACCACAGCATCTATAAATCAGATGAAACACAGAGCCATAAGTTAAACAATGGAGCGATTTCACATCTGAGTCGCTATGTTAAACTTCAGGTTTCAAAATTAAGTTTCATCATTTTGCATGTATACTTAATAGAACACAATTACTGAACATTTAAAAAGCACTCAGGTCCTTCATATGCATACACAGATAAGGAAATCCAGTCTCGAGTTGGTGAAGTAATCCGCCAAAGACTGTGTGACGACGTGGCAGGGATAGTATTTGAATTCAAGACTCTGACTCACAAGTCTCTTTTTTTTTTTTCCATTACACCATGTGGGCTATGGCATATAACACATTAGTAAAAATTTCCAAGGCAAACATTAACATCACATAATAGTTTTGAATCCTTCTCCCAATATTAACTATAGTTTTGTTTCTCTTTTTTAAATGAAGACAAAAACATGTAACTCAATATGGGGAAAAGTATAATGTTCCAATACTCCAAGATGGTTTGCAATCAGCTGGTTCACTGGAAAAAGCTGACAACCTGGAAAAGACCAGGCAAGCCAGACAACTATATTATACAGGTATCAGATATCCTTAAAACAGTTCCTGGAAAATGCTGTATGGTTCTCTTTAAGGGTGATTAAAATTACCTCAAATCAGTTTCTTCTCTTCAGAATGTTTTACATGATATTCAACAAGGAGATTGATTCAAATGTCTTTTCCTCCCTGTGGTGTATGAAACACTAACATTCCAGTTCCAACCTTAACTTTTCAGGTTTTGTACAGGATATCCAAGCTCTATTACCAAAAATCTACAAATGATTTCTTACCATTTCAGATCATCCATTTAAGTCTGTACAATTCTTCAAAAAACTCTACCTTCGATGTCTGTAAACCACCTACTCACCTGGATTATCTACTAGATTTAAAACAGATCGGAGGTCAAAGCGTTCTGTTCTGCCTAAAGACAAAAGATAAAATGCATTGGACATTTCCTTTCAAGTGTAAGGCCAAATGTTGGGGGTGGGGAGTGGAAGAGGAGAGAGGAGGATTAAGGGGGAGAAAGAAAACATGTCACTGCCACAATCCTCAGTGGGCTACCGTCCCTCACCCTGGTCTCCCCTGCATTTGTGATTTGCCTAAGAGTTTCACTTACAGGCACAAAGCATAGAATCTCTCATTGCAGTAGATGCCTAAATTCACTTCGCACTGGGAGCCCCTGAACGAAATAACTTGAATGAGATTAAGGTTTCCCAGGGCCAGTATTTCTTTCTGCTGATTCTGACAGTTTATCTAGTCAGATGCTGGAGTCTTGACTTGCACTAAGAAAGTCGCTGAGAAAAAGGATTGCTAAGTTGGGTAATAGACAGCCGCCTAACGCCAAGGAAGGTAAGCAGGTGCCTGCTACGGCAGTCTGGATCCCACTCACTCAGCCTCCTTTCAGATCCTTCCGTGCGTGGACTGTCAAAGAAAGGAGGGACCCATCTCTCCCATTTGACAGCAGGGAAACTGAGACCCAGAGAGGAGTGACTTGTCAAAGGTAGCACAGGGGGGAATCCCGGAGCCCTAGGCTCCAGACTCCAGTGCCGGGCAGCCCACCTTTGCCCCTACCCTCGCCCTTTCAGAACCCCAGTACCGCCCCGCGCCTTGGGGCAACCCCGTCCGGGCCGCTTTGGGGGCAGACCGAGGATACTGGGAGAAGGGGCCTCCTCACGTCCCGGCCCCCCCCCGCGCCCCTGCCGCTCTCTGGGCAGCTGGGGGAGCCCCGCCTCCGGGGCCTCTCGTGAACGCCGTCCAGCGTCACCAGCCCCCACGGCCCGCCGCGGAGCGGAGCAGCGACCCGGAACCGCACTTCCTCCAGCGCGCCGGAAGTGGCTGCGCGGAGGCCCGGCCGCGCGCATGCGCCCGAGAGCGGCCCCCGCGGCCGACGGCGCGAGCTTAGAGCGGCGGTTGGGCGGGACCGGTTAGGACGCGACGCGAGGCCGGGCGATCTACCGGGTCGGACCGCCACGTCAGCGGGCGGCCCGACCTGCGAATGGTGACTGGGTGGCCGAAACCTTTCTTTCCTTATTTTTAAAGTTGGTGCAGAACAGGGGAAGTGGGAGGAGGCTCGTGGCAAAAGGAAAACCCAGTTGGTGCCGTGGGGTCAGCGTATGCCGTGCGGGATAGAAAGCGGCGGCTGCGCTGGGCCAACCTGGAGCTTCCATTTCTTTCCCCCGCCTCCCAGTCCCACGCACTCTGCACAGCCACTTTGTCACTGAGTGGTAGGTGACCACTCCAAGTCTGTGCCTCCTTCTCACACAGAAGCTTGCGACCTCGCGCCTTGGGTCTCTGACCTACTCTATGTAGATTATGCGTTTTGTATCGCAACCCGGGACACAGATATTATGTACCATTGAAGTTTCCCTAATATAGTGCACTCACTCTATATTGCATTTCGTTAAGAAACATGCTGGTGGCATGTTTCACTATCCACTAATGGGCTCCCAATTTTTCAGATGAAGAAAGTCCGGGGAGGTAACACTGCCTTGTACAAAGTTAGAATGCGAATTAAGAGCCAAGTCGGATCTCCGAACTCCTCAGTGTAACCAAACCAGACATTTCACATCGGAGCTGCTGTTCTTGCTCCCGACCCAACGCCACCGGATTCCCCTGAAACAGTCCGTTCCTCTGCATGTCCCAGTTCTAACCACCAGTAGGAGGGAAGGGGAAAAAACCAAGACCAGGAATCAGAAGAAACACACAAACTAGAATAAGCATTGACTCCAAAACCGCGAGAGTTTAAAATGTCTGAGGCATTATCTGAAAGACGCAAACTCTTAACAGTTTAGCACTTCCGTTGTCAACAATTCTTAAGTACCAAAAACTTTAAGCAAATAATATTTATTTTTATATTGATGATACACTTAATATATACGTGAATTCAAGATACAAAATTCATTTACAAGAGTTCACACCTGATGAATGTAGTCACATTCCTAGAGAACATTTGTCAATGCAAAAATGCTTTCAATACACTGACGACAAAAATCAAATATTCTGTAATCTGGTTATTCAATAAACATCAAAACGACAATGTTTAACTTTCCATCCTCTAGTATTTAAGCGCCCTCAAGGTGGTAGGCACCATAAAACAGAAGAAAACATTGGAAAGACAGGGGCCTACTGAATCTGCTCTGTAGAATCACAGTGTTTACTCAAATTCATTTAGTGAAGTAGTTCGTGAAAGGCTTGCTATCCTTTATGACAAATCACATATACAAGAGTCAAAAGTGATGAACTCAAGAAAATAAAATGTTTCAATAACCTCTCGATTTCTAAAATCTATGAAGTATTAACCATAACAGACAAAACAAAGAGGTTGCTGAAAAAGAACGTTAACAGAAAAACCTCCTTAAGAGTATGTATGGCTAAAGCAATTTAGAAACACAACAAGACTTTTACAATACCACAGACATTCAAGTCAAAAGAGATTGACAATATAATTTTCCCCCTTAGTCATTGGTAGTGAATAGCCCCTTCAAAATTTATTCTACTGATAATACACATAAAACTAATGAATTCAAATGGTTTGCTGTCTCAGAGTTGAATTGATAGATTTTGTTCTAAAGTATTAACCCACAATACCCAAAATTTAATACAAATGAGCAACAAGACTAAGTTTCAATGATTACAGTGATTTGTGAATAGCTAGATAGGCAACCAAATAGCTTCATTATTTGCACGACAGATTAGCAGCACTTGGATAAGAACTGTTACATGAAAATTATTGTGCTTCGATCTCTTGAGGAGAGCTAATAAATATAACTCTATAATCCCTATAGTGTTACAATTCTATAACATTTCAGTTACAGACAAGCACAATTTTTAAAAAGTATTTCACACCACTAGAAAATCAAGAAAATCAAGTAATTATATTCTCCAAATGTAACTTCTGCTATGATTGAAACAAGGGCATTTCTGCCTAATAGCCATAATATAGACAATAGGGTTTAATATTATTTTCAGGGAAAAAAGATCAAACATAATTTATTTGAACTATTTGATTATCTTAATCTTTAGTGATGAAGAAAAAGGATATTCAACCTTACAATGGAAACTGCTCAGAGAAAATAATGTGGCCTGAAATGATAATAACCTTTAGAGCCAAGTAAGAGATGATTTACAACTGCTTCATCAGATTCGATGATTAATGAAACCAATATTTGTACTGATGCTACACACTGAAGATAATCTATTTGGATAAACTCCTTTACTTGTAAGCTCTACTATTAAAATGTTAGAATATTGTACCTGCCTTTCCTAATATCTAAGACCTTTCTACCTCAACTAGAAGAAGCCTCCAAAATATAAGACTCTCTGATTGTTGAACAGCAAGGTTTGTTAAAAACAAAAAGCTGGAGAACTAGCCATACGGTCTATATGACGAAAAGAATGTATCCAGATAACTATAAAAGCCATGAACACAAAGTCCTAAAATATTTTACTGAACCATTAAAAGTTCTTTTTAATAAAAAATAAGTTTTAAAAAAACCTTATTCTTCAAGAAATTGTAATAAAAATTCTTATTGCCCTAAAACATTTAAAGCAATTTTCTTGTAGGTTTTTAATATAACACAACATATATTTATAATTTAGAAAAAAATTAGTAACATGCAGAGGGTAGGAATAAGATTTTGAAAAATACAGTAGTTATTTCTCTATGGTTTGGAAATAATCCAATTTAAGAATTATATGATCATAAATGACTATATATGATCATTTCACATTTTACAATGGTTGATCACACTGATTTGATGTCTGAGAAAACTTATGGGTCATATTGTAACGTTACTAATCTTAATTTTCAATTGTTGACAAGTAGACATTCACAAGGGCTTCGAAAGAGAAAATTCTAGTAATACAACATAAAATATTAAATATTTTTACTGCAGACCTATAGGAAGGCTAACTAGAATTCCCCATATTTCATTCTGAAAGTGATACAATCACTCAGTCTATTAACTTCCATTCCATAAGCCTATCAGAAACTAATAATCTGAACCCTGCAATTACCAATGTCTCGACAAACAATATATACCTAAAAAGATGATTGTCTTAGAATATAGATTGGAATTGTCCACTAAAATAGGAAAATATTCCCAATTTACATTCTGTTCTAGGACCAAATTCAGGCTGTATGATTAAGTGACTCGAGTACGGAATTAATATATTTCAAACTACTAAAAAACTCTGATCTACTGTTAAATATTGCTTAGTTTGATAACTAATTTAAAAAATAACTTTAAAAAACAAATAAAAATATTTTCAAATTAAGAAATGGTGCTTCAGTGATTAAGTTACAGCATTATGCGGAAATGGAATTCTTCTCAAAAGTATTATACCAAACTAATAAGTGAAAAACACCAATTTTAGCTTAAGAAAACATTTCATATCTACAGAGTTCTGAATATTTCTATGGCGTCAACAAATTAGTTATATTAATATATTTATCTTTACCCAATTAAGGGCATGCCCCCTACATCATCTTTCTGACACCCTTCTCTTCAATAGGTGATTGATTCCATTCACCCATCAATTATTTTTCCTTAAACACAAGGCATGCTTGAGAAGTCTGTGTTCGAAAACTCAGTGAAGCTGGGAAATAGTGTAATATTATGTTTTGAAATTCTAGATCAAGGAAGACAAACTGCCTTTGGAAAAGATTTTTTTAAGTGGTCAGTATCCAGGAAAGAATGGGAGATACAGCACGAGTAGGTACAAATGTCTAATAAGAGTACAGAAGAATAGGGGGAAAGTGCTTGGTTTTCTAAGAAATTCTTACCTTATTTAACTGCAAAGTAACTGGCTTTACAACTGTTAGAGTCAGAGGTCATAACCACAACGTGAATGTCATCTACTCCACTTATTGCTGGTGCTCTCCTAGAATCAGTGTCCACACTGAGCCTGAGTCAGGTCCATGAATTTTAAATAGCATAACATCTGTTCTGCTACTCTCCACTTGCGATAAATGATTTGGTTACTAAAACAGAACAACACTTTGAACGTTTTCACTGATTTTTCAGAAATGGTATATTATCAAATTTTAATATTTATAAGTTCATTTTAAATTTAATACTGTAATTGAGAAGTATTATGAATAGGTGGCTGTTTTATTAAAAATACAATGATGAGGCAAATGTAATATTTTGGGGGTGGTAAAACTGACTCTTGACTCTAACTTCTCTAAGATAATTGAATGTTCGATCAGCTAGATTTAATCTTCTGAAGAATAATGGGTAAACAGTCGCTTTGCAGTCAAATTTTATCATGCCAAAATAATCTCTACTTAATTTCTGCGGTGAATGTATTCAAGTGTATATTAAACACTTTCTACACGTTTCCATGCAAATAAACATGCCCAGTGAAGACAGGAGTAACTGAACACCGATACTCTGTGATATTTCATCAGTCTACAAATTTGCACTGCACATAATTACTGTCCTCTTACCCTCCCCCACCTGTCATCTTTGGTAGAGGTTTGAAGGCCCAGATTTCATAGCACATCATACACCTAAAATGTTAAGAGTCCTACCTCATGTGTGAATATATCATCAATTTGCAGAACATAAGTGGTCTCATAGAGACAAAGAAATACAACTGAAGGCATTTTATTCACTGGAAGCATTTTCTCAGATGAACACACTCATCTTTGATATGCAACTCCAATAAGAAAAATCTATAGTCGGAAATGCCAAGACAAGACTAAATTGATCAGAGCTGCTGCAAATATACAGATTAACAACCTCCTGTTTCTCAGGAAACGCCACCCCATCTAGGTAAAGCCTTCTCCTAGCTAATGCCCCTTCTTTCTGCCTCACAGAGACAGATATAAAATGAGACACATCGGTGAAAAAAAAAAATTTGTTCCAAAATTAAAATTCAGTATCAGGTATTGAAATGGCAACTAAGAATATAGTCTCTATTTAAAGGACAATTTTCCTATCTATTTTGAAATGTGATCAAAGTAATTTTTTCTACAGCCCCTTGATTCTCAATATAAATACTACTCAGTAATAATATTCAACTATGGATCAAGAAAATAAAGGACTAATACATCTTAAGAACCTGCTGGTGTCTCAGTTTCACATTCTTAGGTTTTTTTTAGGTTTATATCACTAATTTATTATCAATTTAAATGCAAATTGGCAGATGAGTTTAAAGCTAAGAATATCCAGCTTTCTGTTAAGATCTTTGTATCCCTAATTTCAACTCCAAATTAGTCCATTTTTCCCAAACATGAGCCCCTCAAAATAGAGGCTCATGAATGAGATACAGCCACAACCTAATTACAGCAGCACGAACAATGCCACTATGATGTCCTCACAGAACTTAAATAAATTCAGCCCACAATGGGTATGGGTATATAATATACACATACTGTATCACTGCATACCAACATATTTACAAATATGTACATATGTACAAAAAGTATACACAGAGATTGCATTTAGCATCATAAAAATATACACATGCCATTAAAAATAAAATAAGAATTTCAAATAAATAAAGTCAACAAAAGAGCCCTCAATGTAAATATACTTTATGCTCTCCAAACACACACACAGGATCAAATATATGCCCAAAATATTACCAGGAGATTCATACCATTCATATATCAAATCTTTTTACTCACTCAGTGTGGGGAGGTGGTTCTAAATCACTAGCTGTAGCCAAGTTTGCAGACCTTGGTACCTTACTATATTTCCAGTCTAGAATGTTCTCCGTATATCAGGCTGATTACAAGTCTCCATGGATAACTAAGTACAAGAGTTTCGACTGAGTCCAAACCCCTTCTAAGAGACAGAAAGTTACTAAGTCGCACAGGTCAGAGACTAAATTTGGAGAATGCTACAGAAAGTTCCATAATTGATAAAGAAAAAAACCAAATCTGTTGCTTTTCCTTTTACCCTCGATGAAGTTCAGGTTCAATCACCACCTAATCTGTTTCATGGAATTCTACTGCAAAAGGAAAATGAAGGGCAGTGGCCACAAGTGTGGAAAAATAAAACCCAGATCCTAGATCAGGAAAATTTGTCATGACTAGATTGCACTTTCCTTTTATTATCTCAAAACATTTCAACTATGTAAAAATATAAAGGGTACAATAAATTCTATGTGCTTTGAGAGGTTTCGAGAGCACCACTTCCTAGGAGGAAAACACACACACACACACGCACGCACGCACGCACGCACAGAATATATCTTGGCTAAAACCAAAGATAAAATATCTAACTTGTGGATTTTTTATAACTAATAAATAAACATTTCCTAGGGATGACTGATTTACTGGTTTCAATATCTGATATATTAAAAATACCATAACCTTTGTGCCAAAATATAAATCTCTAATTATTTCTGTCTTGTTCATTATAGAAGGCAACCTGAGCAACCAGAAAGACTGGACTGAGATCAGGAGATTTGAGTTTTAGTTCTAGCTCTATCACTACGAATAAACTGACAGTTTGGAGGCGTGTCTCAGATTTCTCTTCTATAAAATAGAGACGACAGTTGCTTTCCCAACTTCAGAAATACACGGATAAAGAAAGAAAAAATAATTCCATTGTGCTTAATTGTTTTGTGTATTACTGACTTCTTGCTGTCTTATACTTTCTATTTTGTTTAGAGTGATTCTTAAGGGAGGTGAGAGACTGTATCAGAATCTCCAGGGGAAGTTTGTGCAATTTGAAAAGAAAGAAATGCCCTTTTTCATTGCTTTGCTTTGTTCTTAATTCCAATATTTAAATTTCTGTGAATTCTAAAAATAAATAAAGCGCCTAGCAGTTTTATATTTATAAAAGGGAACAGTATGCATTGAGAAAATGAGTCTTTGCCATTGCCATCTTAAGCCCATGGGGTGATTGTTCTACGTTTCTTCTTCCTTGATTAAAATAATGCCTTAAAATGTAGAAGCTGGGTAGTGGGTTGGTTCGTTAAACTCTGTGTATGTTTAAAACTTTCAAAAAAAGTAAAAAAAAAACAAAAACTAAAGACAAAGAAATATGAAGTATTTGCTCAAATGGAACCTCAGTGAGGCCTACCCTGATCACTCATTTAAACATTGCTCTTTGCCCCAAAATAAACAAAAAATTTCCCTTACTATGTATGCTCTAACTTTTTCTTCATACTACTTATAACTTTCTAACATAAATTTACTTATTACGGTTATTGCCTGACTCCTTTTACTATAATGGAAGTTTCATAAAGATGAGAATTTTTAATCTACTTTGTTTGCTTCCCCAATGCCTAGAACAAAATCTAGAGTATAGTTGTTTTCTCAATACACATATTTTTTGAAGGCATGAATAAAACGATACTTTAGAATTATCTAGTAGTTTTCCTCTCTGGATCATTTCAGTTCACTTTAGATTTTCAACTATCAGGAAAGACTTATACTACTATTAGCTTAAGGTGCAATGCCATCATCTGTGCCCCAGTTGTGAGTTCTAAGACACCTTGTTCTTCAATAAATTCGTTTCTAATCACAAAAGCTCTAATATGTCAGGAGATTCTCTCTCTGCACTAGTTTCTCCAACAACTAAGTGGGATGCAGCTATTTTCTTGAAACAAAACTATGTAAATTACGATGTAGAAAAGAAAAATGTTATGTACACTAAAATCAAGAAAACTAGTCCAGGTGGCAGGGGTGGGGAAATCAATGTCTTTTGGAACCACGAGTTCAAATTACAGAACCATAAAGTTACATAGGCCCCCTTGGGTCAATACCTCCATTTTACAGATGAGAATGCTAAAAAGTAGAGATATGAAGACACCTGTCAAGGGCATAAAGCTACTTACTAGGAAAGCCAGGATTAGAACTCAGGCCTCCTCTTTCTCAGACCAGTGTTCTTTATGCTAAACAGGCAAGGATAAAGCTCAGGATATAAAATATTATTTTAAGCATCAGAGAACAGGAAAGTATGTTTTTAGAAACATTCCTGGCACAGAACTTTAGGAGAATTGAAATAAAAGGTCAGACAACTAAGACTAGTCTATTGCTGTAGTCTAGGTGAACAGTGAGATGAAAGGGAAGCTCTGAAGTATATTAAGGGACTGAAAATAAAGGAGAGCAGCTTTTATCTGACAATAAAAAACAACCTGCTAGCAAAGGAAACCTCTCTCCAGAATAACTTGTCCACAGCTTTCTGAAATAATGTTTAAAAGAACAAACGAAAACAATAAAACGACATAAAGTTCCCCCAAACCCAGAACAATAACTTCAAGACCTCGGATGAAAAATAAACAAATTGGAACAGGTATATGAATAACTCAGACCCAAATAATTCTCTATGCCAGAAATGAAAACCAAGTCAAAAATATTACAGTAAAATTTCCCTAGGGACATAGGAAAGAGGCACCACAAGCAATCACCTCATTTCCCCTGGAACTGCCAGAGGTAGAATGTGAGCCTGTACAGAAAATTAGGTAGAAAGGCTTTTGATTCATAACTTTCTTGAATGCTGTGGAGTCAAAAGAAGGGGGGAAAAATCATAGCTAGTGCCTGTGAAATTATAAAAGGGATGACAGGGAAGAAAAACACAGAAATATTCATATTATACACTGAGTCCTATTAAAATAAAAACTTGTGCATGAATATAAAATATTAAATACAAGAAGTTTTAAAAAATCTTATTGCCAAAGTGTCAATGCAAAAGGAACTTCCATTTTAGGTTAAATAACTATTCAGTTACCCCCCCAACTAAAATTAGTAATATCTCTGACTCTGAAGTCTTATAAATTTCAACTAGGCAAAAAGATGCCAAACTCTGTACTGTATGCCATGGACTTCAACCTAGACAGTCTTTAAAGCTGATCTCATGAGTTAAGAGTTTAAAGAGAATTCCTACTGGAAACCGACAATCTGATTTTTTAAGAGAAATATTTAAAAGTTGTTCTTTTGAATTTCTAGCACTCAAAGGCTACGAAGAAAACAAAATATGTGAAGATATCTCATAATAACACAGGACTCACACATTCCAAATGATATTTATCATCTCAAGACCCCAATTAAAGATTTAGTATTCCGATGCAAAATCAATCTTGAAACTCAGTTTCTGAAACTCTTACAGTATTTAAACGAATTAAATGATTTCAAGAACTGTCTTGATTATACTTCAAAGAATCACACATTTTCTACCTACTAACTTGGAATGAAAAGAAATATTATGGCAGGACTGTTCTTGACATTTGGTAGTCCATGCTGGCTAGTTTCATCTCTGTGAACACTTACATTTTCCAAATCCACACATGAAAAGTCCAAGTTTAAGAGTATGATTTTCCTCATTATACAAAAATAAATAATTTACTCTTCTCAGGGCGAGAATAGTGACTATTTGAGTGTAAGTTTAGATGTTGGAGGTAAGTATCCATACCTCGAAACCAAAAAAATAAAAATTCCAAGAGTAATTCAGTTTTTTAAAAGACCTGAAAGACTGTATTTTAAAACAGTTACCCTAAAAGTGTGAACAATTTTTTCAGTCTGTGTTTTTTAAAACGGTGGTCCTAAATTAAAAAATAAAACCTAAGTAACACCACTATGTGTCTGTCACCACATTAGAAAACTGCACCATTTAAAATCTGTGGCAAATGAAAAATTGTTTTGACAAGAGGATTTTTCTTTTAATAGTCATCTATGGTATTCTCAAAGAACACGTTTCGAACATCCAGAATGGATGCCAATTCCAAAATGTGCTTCTGGAGATGAGGGTTCTCCACCGTTTCATCCCTTGGCAGTTGTGGATATGATTCTGGATAATTTCGTGTTTCCTGATAGGTAAAGAAGAGAAAATATAAGTTTCATAGTTTAATGGAAAAAAAAAAAGAAAAGCATTAATATTAGTTAACATAAACAATATTAAGGAATAACTTAATATGTATTTTTCTCTTTCAAATGGTATGATTATTATTGGTAATATATTTGTTGAACATATGAAATTGCTGACATTTGACCATTTTGACCTTAGAAATGACAATTTCATCATATGATCCAACCTAATATATTAATTTTGTGAGTTAATTCACAAATATTTACTGGGGCCTATTATTTCTGGGAACTATGCTATATTGAGGAAACAATATAATTCCTACTCATTAAGAGGGCGAAATCCTAGCATATACAGAATTTCAACAACTATTTGTTAAATGAATGAATAAATAGACGTTGCAGTGTTAATTAAAACAAGAAAAAGATGTGAGAAGCACCGAAAAGGTCAAATTAATAGGCCTGGGAAATTATAGAAGAAGGAGATGTCAAAGATAACTGAGATTTCTGTAAAGGATGCCTTGGGAGAAGGATTGGGAGCAACCGCGAAAAAGAGAAGTAAAAGAGGAAATAATTTGGAAATAGTATAAGTTTCGGGTTTTAGGAATATTTTATTTGAGGTAACAAGGTAATACCAATAGAACTGCTCCTCAACCAGAATTTGAAAATTTAGGGCTGTATCTCAGCAGACAGGTTTGAGCAGTATATGTACACACTGATATCATCTGCATGAATATTAAAGCCATGAAGATGGATGAGATTTCTAAGATTAGCAAGGATTAAAAAAAAAAAAGTTCCTAAAAAAGGGAGATGAAAGTTCAAAACAAGACAGAGAAACAGAAAAGGGATAATAGAAAAACAAATTTTATAATACATGGAAGCAAAAGAAAGAGACAATTTCAAGAATGAGGTAATTGTCATTTGGAAATTCTTCTTCATTTGGTAATTTCTGCAGACTATAATTTGTCATACATTTAAAATATCTTGAAGAAATAAGTTACCACTTTTCTAATTTTTTCCTATTTTTAACAAAACAGTTCATATATTCAAATTTCATTTCTATCTTATTCCTGTAGTCCTCACTCATTGCACATTACAAAGAGCAAATTTTTGTTTTACCACACTAAATATTGTGACAAAAATGAAATGTTCAAAAACCCTAAAACAGAGAAAAAAATAAGAACTACCAAGGACTACTGTAGGTTCTCCTGAAGTGGAGAATATCTGTTTAAACAGGCAACAAATGAAAGAGACCCTAGAAGAATCGTGCTTCTTAGTATTAGGCCGAAAGGAGCTTACATCTTTATGCTACTAACTCTAGTCTAAATCCGCCCCCCACCTCCCAAAAAATAGCTTAAAAACAAGCCATAGAAAGGTCAAAAAGATCTGCAAGTAATTTCACTCCGGCCAGAACAAAGTGTAAAACTCTTTAAAGAAAGGCAACAAATTCCAGAATTCAACATCATAAAATTTACAACAACCTCAGGATAACAGAAAATTACTAGAAGTACAAAGAATTAGGAACATAAGGTCCATAACCAGTAGGAAAAACAATAAAAACGAACCTATAAATGACAGAGAATATAGTATTGGCAGATAAGGACTTTAGCTATTATATATACATTCGAGGGCACAACAAAAACATAAATATAATGAGAGAAATGCAAAATATTAAAAGAACCAAACAGAACTTCTAGAGAAGAGAAAAAAGTAACCCCTGAAACAAACAACTAAATGGACAGGAGTAACAGCATATTAGACATTGCAGAAGAAAATATCAGTGAACTTGAAGACACAGAAATAGAAACCGAAACAGAGAAAAGACTTAAAAATGAAGAGCAGATCCGTGGCCTTTAGGGCAATATTAGCTTGTCTAACATATATGTAAATGATGTCCCAGAAAAAGAGAAAAGGGAGAGAAAAGAAAAAATATTTGAAGAAATAATGGCAGAAAGTATTCTTTAAAACTATAACTCAGATCCAAGATTCTCAATGAATCCCAAGCAGGAAAAACACAACAAAGAAAACCATATCAAGGTACATCACAACCAAATTAGAGGAAACCAATATAAATAAATATCATAATCATTCATAATATCAGATGCAAAAATCCATAATGAAATATTAGCAAACTGAACCCAGTAATGCAAAAGGATAACACATGACTACAAAATGCATTTAATCTGGGTATACGAGGTTGATTTACTACTAGAAGATCAATCAATGCTATTCATCATGTTAGAATTAATATATATCAGATCAATTAATGCATAAAAAAATAATTTACAATCTCCCATACCCATTCCTGATATAAACTCTCAGATTAGCAATAGAAGAGAGCTCAGTCAACCCGGAAAAGGGCATCTATGACAAACCAACTATTAACATTATAATTTATGGTAAAAGACCAAATATGTTCCCCCTAAAACCAGGAATAAGGCAAGGATATCCATTCTCACTACTTCTATTCAACATTTTACTGGAAGACCTAGTCCTGAAATAAAGCACATACAAAAAACTAAATAAAATAAAATGCATACAGATCGGAAAGAAGGAAATAGAATTGTTTTTGTTTGAAGATGCTATGATCCTGTGCATAAAAAAACTTAAGGAATGTATTTAAAAAAGCTAACAGAATACTTCATTTTAGCAACACTGCAGGATACAAGGTCAATTTAAAAGCAGCAGTATTTCTATTTATCAGCAAAAGATAATTGGAAAAAGAAATTAAAAAAATACATCCCCAAACTTGAAATACTTTGAAATTTAATGACACATGTACGACCTGTATGATGAGAACCATACAATATTGCTGAAACTAAAAAAGACCTAAATAATTAATTGATTAGAAGACAATATTATTAAAATACAGCACTCCACAGAATGATTACATAGATTAAATGCAATCCCAATCAAGATTGAAGTTGACGCTAAAATTCACATAGATATGCAAAAGACCTAGAACAATCGAAACACTTAAAAATTTTACGGGTGAAGACTCATACTATAAGATGGAAAGACTTAATTTAAAGCTACAATAATCAAGGTACTAGTGTACTGGAGGAAAATGCTATTGGTCAATGAAACAGAATTTGGAGCTCAGAAATATCCCTGTACATATATGGTTGACTGATTTTCAAAAAAATAACAAAAATAATTCAAGGAGAAAAGAATAATCTTTTTGACAAATGATACTAGGACAATTTCATATCAATATTAAAAAAAAACCCTTAAACCCTTACTGTACACTGTAAACAAAAATTGACTCAAAATACATCACAGACCTAAATATAAAACCTAAAACTATAAAACTCCTATATGAAAACAAAAGAAAATCTTTGTCACTTCAGGACAGGCAAACATTTTGTAGATAAAACATACAACAACAAAAAAAATTGATTAGTTGAAAATTCATCAAAAATTTAAGTTTAGTCTTCAAAAGCCTCTGTTAAGAAAACAAAAAGGCAAGCCACAGAATGGGATAATATATAGCTAATAAGCATGGGAAAAGATGTCCAATATCATTATTCACCAGTGAAATGCAAATTAAAACTACAATGAGAAAGCATTATAAATCCACCAGAAAGGTTATAAGACTGACAAAGCCATGTGTTGACAAGGATGTAGAGAAACTCTCACCATGCTGTTGCTGGTACAACTACTTTGAATAAAAAGTCTGGCGGTTTCTTATAAAACTAAACACATGCCTATCCAATGACCAAGAAACTTCAAAACATAAGTCTGTGCAAATACTTGTGCAAGAATGTTGATAGCTGCTTTATTTATAACAGTCAAACATTTTAAACTGTCAAGGTTCAAAAATTTTAAACTGCCATTGTCTGGTATATTCAGACAATGGAATACTACTCGTTGATAAAAAGGAATGAGCTACTTATACATGAAACAACATGGGATGAATCTCAAGAACAATATGCTTGGTCAAAAAAGGTTTACGCTGTAACCCAAGTTCATGAATAGGTGAAACTAATCTGTAGTGAAAAATAATAAAAAGAGAGTTGTTCTGGGGTAATGGGTAGTAGACTGACTGAAAAATGGTATAAAGAGAATTTTCCGTAATGATGCTATGTTGTATCATGTGACTGGGGTTTGAGTTACACAGGTGTATGTATTTATCAAAAGTCGTCTAATGGTATACTTTAGTTTTGTGCATTTTACCGTATGTAAATTTTATATTAAGAAAGAATTACATATATATAGACATAAAAATTCCAGTTATTTATATGAATAATTAAGTGTTGAGGGGTAAAGTCTACTGAAGTCCACAATTTACTTCAAAATTTACTCAAAAATGAAATAACCTGACGAATGGAAAGTGGGATGGATAAATGGAAAAATATGTGTAAAAGTAAATATACCAAAATGTTAACTATAGAAATTAGCTAGTATGAATACAGGTATTCGCTGTACAATTCTTTAACATTTTAAAATTATAATAGTAAAATGGGAGAAAATAACAAATTTTAAGACCAAAAGTTGCAAGAGATTTTTAAAAAATGTTTAGGCCTATTTGAAAAAGATCTAATTATTACTTATAAAAGTGAAAAATATAATGGCTATAATTTTTAAAACCTCAATGAACAGTGTTATGTAGCTACTTGCACACACAGAAACTATCTAGAGCAAAACAAAAGACGTGAACACACTCTTCACAAAGAAGAACAAAGAACAACATATATAAACCTCAACAGTAACCCCAGAAACAAAAATTAAAACCACAACAAACTACTACTTCACACCCACCTGACTCACATGGAATATAAAATATGACTGCAACAAATGTTGGCACGGATGAGAGCAATAGCAACTCTTACATACTGCTGGTGCCGGTGTAAATTGATACAACCACTTTGCAAAATGTTTGGCATTACTCAGTAAAGTTAAATATGCCTACATCATCTGACCTCGCATTCCACTATGAGGTATTCCTTTTTCCCTCCAACAAACACATTTCATCCAAATATGGCAAGTGCTGAGTCACAGGTAGTTCACGATAGAATTCTCTGATGAGGTCTAGAACTGCCTAATCTTTTCCCCAAAGGGTTATATATGTGGACCAGGAAACTGATAGAAGACTTCACCGTGGCATTGTTTATAATACCAAAAAACTGAAAATGCCTCAAATGTCCATTATCAGTAGAAGAGATGAATAATTCGTGATATATCGTCAAACAATGGAATCCTGTGTAGCAGTGAAAATGAATGAATGAAAGCTTTCGTCAGTCTTCAACATGGCTCAATCTCAGGAATATAACAGTGAGTGAAAAAAAGGAAGTTGTAGAAGAATACATGCCATATGGACCTATCAACATGTTGTGTAGGAATACAAATACATGTGGCAAAACTTTAAAGAAAAGTGAATAATAATTATAAAAAAATCGAGATTTCAGTTTCACTTGAGAGGGAGATAGGATCAGGGAGGACACACAGAGGGGACGCAAAGAAAATGAAAATGTTCTATTTCCTAAATTGGGTGACAGGTACTCAGATATGCCTTACATTGTTCATCTTTATACCTTACCTATTAATTTGTGATTATTTTGGATCTATTCAAACTTTATTTAATACAGGTAAAATACAACATAAGATTCTTAAATACCAAAAATGGTAAAACTGGTCACTTTGCCTACCCGAAAAATCTTGTGCATCCTCATGGTGGCTGAGCAAAAGACAAATCTTGTGAGAAGCAAGCGAAGAAATTCATCTCCAAAAAACTGGAGGAATGCCTGATCTGCAGAGAGGAGAAAGGCGACGGTAAAAGGAGGCTTAAATGGAAAATACATTTCAAAGGAGAAGAAAAGTTCAGGAAAACCTTCTCAACTTTCCTGCCTTCAACAAATACCTTTAAAAATTCAAACAATTCAAACAATTTCGACAACTTAAAACAATTTAAAACCATTACAGTACGTTCTGTTAAGGGTGCAGTTAGATTAGTAGGGTACCTATTGAACGTGAATGGGTCAGTAGCTGGGCAATATCGCGGTTGATTTTTCGAAGATATTCTTGACACTTTTCCCATAGGCCTCTACGCATGCTTGACAATCCAGAGACAAATAGGAAGGCCATTAGAGGATTGTTCAAAAAGAGAGTGAAGAGGCTACCTCGTTGAGATTGATCTGTAATAACAAACATGTTATATATATATAAACGACAGTTTTGTAAAAGATAAGAGATGCATTTGAGGAACATTTTAACATACTGATAATGTATGAAATTAAAGCTATATCATTAAATCATAATTCAAAAAAGCAGATTCTGCATGGGACTACAAAAATATATCCCAGGTACACTGCTTTCTGCTGAACAAACCATAGAGCCGAGTAACCTTAAGAGAAATGGAAAATGAACATATTCCTTTGCCTGCCCCTCCCCCACTCCAACTAACACGTTTCATCCAAACACGGCCAGGGCTGGATCCCAGGCAGGTCATGAGAAATCTCTGATGAGGGCTAGAATCACCAACCTTTCCCACTCTCTTCAGTTAGTTGCTCTTTCTCTGCCCATCTCTTAAACACGAGTATTTTCTCTTTGCCCTATCCACTGCTAATCTCATTTACTCTCATAATTTCAGTTATCATTTCTATGCCTATTGATTCCCGATTCTCTATTGACAGCCTAGATGGAGCCCCTTAAGTCTAGAACTTAAAATGTGACTGGTCCAAGTCCAAATTGAGACACACTGTGAAGAATGAAAAATACACAGGGTCAAAGCCTCAGTACAAAACACACATACTGCTAACGTTAATTTCACCGGTTTCTTTCTACTTTTTTTTAATGTGGCTATAGGAAAACTTAAAATTATATTTGTGAGTTCCATTATATTTCCATCGGACTGCTTTGCTCTAGACTACTAAATTAAACCTAACTCTCAAAGGTAACTTTAAACACAACATGTCAAAAACTGAAAATAACTTTCCCCCCTTTTATATAAATCTACTTCTTATCCAGTATTGTTATTTCCATCAACACCACGGCCAGCACCCTGGAAGGCCATTCCTGCCTCCTTCCTCTCTGTATTTCCTCACCATCACCAAGTCCATCATCAAGTCCCGTTGGTTCTCTGGGCTTAGTACTTTTGAAGCCAGTTAACCAGCCAGTGTTCTCATTACAACCACCACAATCTCCCTGTTTCCATCAATGTTCCTGTCCAATGCACTTCACACAAGGTTAACTGAATGCTCTCTCTTGTTACTGTTCTGTTTAAAATCATTTGATGGTACCCACTTGTCCCCCATTTAAATCTCTTAACCAATCACAAAAGGTTTTTCTTAACTTAGTCACACAATCCCAACTCTACCCTTTAACTAGCAGAAAATACTCTGATTTTTGTAAACGTTCCACAAACTCTCTCTTCTCAGAGCTCTTATCTCGGGGCTCACACACTATTTCTCTGCTAGAATACCCGTTTTCAATCATTCCCCATCCCCGTCTAATCTACATATCCTTCAAGTCCACTCTAGACATCATTTTATCCACTTTTCTCATTCTCGAGGGCTGGTTAGGACATCCTCTTGAGTATCAAGTGTGCTTCTCTGCTACGAGACACTAATAGCACCTACAGTACTTGCATGCTAGGTTGTCTGTATCTTCTAGACAACTGCCTCTGTGAGAAACATAAATGTGCTTGTCTGGTCAGTGTTACAGATGCCTAGCACTGTACCCGATAAATAAATGTTAATGTTCAATGAAGTAGAGAAAACTGTAGACTTTAGAGATCAGAGGTACAGGAACCTAATTTGACATTCCAAATACTTAGGTATCTGCTAGTTTTGTTCCCAGAAGGGGTACAGTTAAAGGATCAGAGGTCTAAGCTTTAAAGCACAAAAGATTGGATATTAGACTAAAAAATATTAAGGGCGTATATTATACCTAAGCATATTAGTAGTAATGATAGTTGGGATGTATTGAATACTTATTATACACCCAGAGTTATTTTATGAAGTAGGTACAATTATCTCCATTTGACAGGAAAAGAACTGAGGCACAGAATTGTTAAGTAACTTCCCAAGGTCACACAGCCTCATAAGCGGTTGAGATGGGATTCGAATTCAATCGGTTCGCCCCCAGAGTCTATGTTTTGACCCTATACACAATAAAGCCTTTCAGAGCAAATATTCTTGGTATCAGCCCATTAGACCGTGCAATTTTAAATAAAACTGCCTCTCGACAGGACGAATTGACAGCACGAAGAACCGAAAGGGGTCACATTTCTCCAGGAATGATATGTATCAGGTTAGGTTAACAAAGTCCTCACAGCAGGAGAATTTTACCGTTGTTTGAAGGTAAGTTCTATCCCTTAGTAAGTTGACTTTTGGATACATGAACTTAATACTTTTACATGTTTTTCCCTGTTAAATAGTAGAACTTACCTTAAAACAACGGTGAAAATGTCTCCAGCTTCTCTCAGGCATTCAAATGCTGACCATCACTTCCTGTGTCAAACTATGTCAGCAGACAGACTTCTGGCTGGGAAGTAGCAGTAAAATGCCATCTCCCACAGAGAGACATCAGCACTATTCACGGTCAGGGAGATAGTGAGACAGTGACAAGTACTGCTAAAACAGGGTTAAGGTTCGTTTAGTATTTTACCTAGCTTGATGACTGGGAGTTAGAAACAGATTTTGTGTTGCCGATTAAAGACAAATTATTAACGACAAAAGGTCTTCCATTTCTCATTCATCTGAGAAACAGCAAAAACGCTGACCTGTCTCTCTGGCGCACTGAGAAGAGGTTCTTTTATTTAAAAAAAATGGCAAGGTAAAAACGTGAAAAAAAGAAACCCTTTAAGTTGTGCCAGTTAGGGTGCCCTAACTCTCCGGCGTAAGCTGAGAGGTTTTCCGGACCAGAAATCTTAAGTCTTAAAATATGCCTAAAATACGTAGCCAGAGATGCAGGAAATCATCATGCCAGATGGATGAGGACAAGCTCACCAAAACAAACAGCTGCAAAACAAATTTAAACTTCACAAATCACGAATTCCCCAAGAGCAAGGGACCAAAACCACCCTTTTCTCGGGAATGCTTTTCCATTTCTTTGAGAATCATCTCAAGGCCTAAGGGTAGCACATTAAAGGAGTCTGGTGGTTGGCAAGGCTTCTGGCTTGGTTTCAGATTGATACCTGCCCCATGAAACACTATAAATCTACATGTTATCATTATGGGTGGGGGAGACAAAGATCGGCATTATTCAAAATGTACAGTGTTTACTTGCAACCTATGGAGATAAGAGGTAATGACAGAACATACCTTGTAAAGCTTTTGGATATGCTGTAGGAGAAAGCAAGCAGACTAGTGGCTGTCCAAATAAGTTTGTGAAATTCTGTAATATATAAGAATTCGAAACGTTCATTAAAGGTTTGACCAAAGAGAGTAATTTTCCAAAGCACATCATTAGTGTATAGATTGGGCCCTTTGACTCACAGCAGCTGCAGAAACATCAGCAACAGCTGAAGAGACTGCCATTCATGCATAACTACCATGCATAATAGGCTGTCTTAAAATAGTGACATTTACTAAATGACTATTGATTTTTAAAATAAAGGCATAGATATGGTCACAGTGTGATCAGGAGAGGTCATCTGGCTGTCTACCAAAAGGCCGCCTATTGGGCAACATACACTAGCGAAGGTATATTCACAAGGGTGAATTTTCCAAGATCTTGATCTGGTCTCAGCCTCACAGGCTCTAAAGTCCGACTTACTGGTCTGGGAAGATCGTGCCCGTCTCTCACTGTGAATCATAGTAACTGCTCACGCAGAATGACATATAAAAACAGAATATCAATGTGTTAACTTACAGAGAGAATTAATCTGACACTCAAACTAGAATACTCTTTGTAGCATTAGGGATATCTT